TAGTGTAGAACATAGTCACTTGAATTCACAGTCACAACCTATCAAATAGAAAACACACATGATGCAGTTATTAGATAATCTCAAAACAAAAAAATATCAAATAATATGGATGCATTAACAATTGACCTAACTTCTAAAGTCTTAAAAGTATGTAAACAAAGACAAACAAAGCACAAGCCACTGTAGTGTGATTTCATGTTTTCTGTGGAGGATCTTAAGTGTAAATCTTACCTTGTAAAACTTACAGTAGATCTGCTTCAATGAGTGCACTGCAACACCTCACTGCAGTGCCACCTAATGTATGTTAAATATCCTGTTTGATAATATTTAACAACAAACAAGTGGGTCCCAGAGGGTCATGCTCCCAAAAGATTTCCACAAGTTGAACTTGGATCAGTGTTGACATGAGACATGACATGCTCAGTAAAATAGTGTGCGGTTAATTTGCTTGCACCACCAATGCAGTTGGCTTACAGGTATGTTTGATCATTAGTGAGAGATTGGCATTATAAGGCTCAAATATGTTTGCTGACCCCTGCTTAAATCAAAGTGCTTTGGTTGCCTAAAGCTATCCGAGACTCAGGACGAGATGTCTGGATGTGAATCTAGGCCTCCAGTTACCACTGAACACTCAAAATACATCAACCCTTCATCAAACTCCTGGTAAAACAGCAAACAAGCCGGAGCAAGCAGAATCCCTGAAGCAGTCGGTGGACATACTGGGACAACAAATGTCAGCATTCAACAACCGTCTTACTAAATGTAAAGGTCTGATGAAATGTTTGATGAGTGGAAACTTTGAAAAGCTCTCCAAGATGGAAGGTGTTGTTGAATCTACAATCTCAAACCTTGGTACTGCTGGAACTGGTGGATGACCTCAAAAAAAGGCGTTTTAATCGGATGGTAATTAACATACCCAAAGGAAGCGAGAAGGACCAGGATCCGACAAAGGTTGTGTCTATTAATGGAGGTGCCCCTGTCCCAGCGTTTTCAACATCCTCTGGAGATAAAACGAGCCCACCACTCCCTCGGACCCAGACCAGGACATGCTGGCGTGGTGAAACCAAGAGCTTTCTCTGTTAAATTCCTCTGTTTTCAGGATAAAGAAAGTTTTAAGATGGTCCAGGCAACACAAACTGGTTTATCGCAGCTCCGAGTTGAGAGTATCCCCGGACATCAGCACAACTCTGGCTAAAAAACGAGCTGTGTTCAATGCGGTTAGAAACTCTAAATACAATTCCACCTGCTGCATCTTGCTTGTCCCCAGGTTTCATTCCGGAGCGATAACTACTATTTAGACTCACCGCAAAAAGCTCAGGAATTCTAGAACCAGCGGGTTGCTCCCACCGGTTAGTGGATGCTGAGCTGGTTCAAGGGACACGAAAGCCTCATCTGCATTAAATGCAGGTTAAAGCCAATGGTCATTCATAAATGGACCATTCTGGAAAAGGTGACCCTGAAAGACGATGGCCCTTGTAATTTCTCCAAGTTTGTTTGCTGCTAAATAACCTGGTGTGGACTGTCAGGTATGGAGGCACTTGGCACTAAGCAGTTGCATTGTAATCTACTTTTTTCTCTCTTTTGTTTCTTAAAACTTTACCATTGTTACTTTTTTTGTATGTTTGCTAATGGTTAGACTTGGTTGTCAGGGGTTACCTTTTTGCTATAGGTGTTACCCTCCGTTAATTCCGTTTATTATGTTACTTTGTTTTACGTTATAGACATACACCAATCAGGCATAACATTATCACCACCTGGGCACCCTGGTGGTCATAATGTTATGCAGCCCCATACACAACAAACTGGGATGTATTGTGTGTTCTGACACCTTTCTATCAGAACCAGCATGAACTTTTTTAGCAATTTGAGCCACAGTAGCTTGTCTGTTGGACCGGACCACACGTGCAGCCTTCCCTCACCCCGTGCATCAATGAGCTTTGGTCTCCCATGACCCTGTTTCTGGTTCACCACTTTTCCTTCCTTCGACCACTTTTGATAGGTACTGACCACTGCAGACCGGGCACACCCCACAAGAGCTGCAGATTTATTTGGCCCTTGTCAAGAAGAAGATATACTTTATTGATCCCCTAGGGGGAAATTGTTTCCAAAGTCACTCAAATCCTCACGCTGACCATTTTTCCTGCTTCTAACACATCAACTTTGAGGACAAAATGTTTGTTCACTTGCTGCCTAATATATATCCCACCAACTGACAGGTGCCATGATAAAGAGATAATCAGTGTTATTCATTTCACCTGTCAGTGGTCATAATGTTATGGCTGATTGATGTATTTGCAGTTACAGGAGCCTTGCCTGCTCAGGTGTGTTAAGGAGGTAACAGGTTTAGGTCATATGTAAGTGAAAGGTTTATAAGATCCTGCTAATATTTATAGTTCTTTGAACAAGCTTAGGAATGTTTTGGTGTGTTCATAGTTCTCTGTTCTAAGAGTTTTCTTTTGGGGTATTTGTGCTTTAGGTCCTACAAGGTTGTTTTTTTTCATTATTATTATTTGTTTTTCTCTACTTTCTACTTACTTTAACAAGGCACTATGTTACTTGCCTTTGCATACACCCTAATGATTGAAAATGGGTAATTTAACACAAAATGGAGAAGCATGTCTAGGTTTCTTGTCAAAGGAATCAAAGGCCCAGTTAAGAGAGGTGGCATATTTTCCCACTAAAACACCTTAAAACTAAAATTGTCTTCTTACAAGAGACTAATGTGACCATCAGAGATCATCAGAAGTTTAAGGCACCATGGGTCAGTAGCAAAGCAAGGGGTACAGCTATTAGTCCAACTAATGAGATAGCTGACCCACAAGGCCGTTTTGTAATAGTTGATTAATCGGAGCAGCACTGAGTGGCTTTGAACAGGAGAGCAAAGGGAATGAACAGCTCTGTGAGCGAGGAGGGGAAATTTTGGCTGCTCCTCTCGGCTCTCATGTTGTTTCCTTGCTACCTCAAAAAGACTGCAGGAAGACACCTGGAACCCATAAAACAAAATCAATGGATTAAACAGGATAACAGGCTACTTTGTGACCTTTAGAGGTGCTGTAAGGCCTTTGGATAAAACTGGGTTAGCTGTTTCCCTGTTCCTAGCATTTGTCAAAGTTTTTGAACAGAAAATGCTAATATGAAATGTCTTTATAATAATGAGAAACTGTAAACTTTTTATTTATGTGCTTAAACAAAGTTATAAAGTACTTACAGTTCAATAAAACAACAGAGTAATGTGGAGAGAAATAATGAAAATATGTTAAGACATGAGATAACAACAAAAGAAAATATAGTTGACAATAATATAAAACATAAAAAAAGGGGCACAGAGTTTGGTACAGTAGGTAAAGAATAGGGCTTCCAGCACAAGTGTATTTGAAGGTCTGGTATGAAGTGAATTCTGATTTGGTTCCTTACTCAGGCAAGGAGATCCAGTGCTGAGAGACCCAAAAAGAAAAAGACTCAGTCATCCCTAATAATAGTTTGTTCACACTGCCACATAGCCATCATACGCTGCTCAGGTCAGCAGTGTGAACTAAGTATAACACGGCATGTAGTTAGAACAATCAGGAGACCCCTGCTTGAGGATTTCAGGCTGTGTCGTGGCTCATAGAGGATTTTCTCAATTGTAATTATGAGAATGACCATGCAATGCCTACACATTTGAAACAGCAAAAGAGCAAAAGAAAACAACACATCACTTGATTTCATGAATAAGTATATTATTTTATAAAGTGCACTTTGTTGTATTGTATTTTATACAGGTTTTATGCTGATGTTAATTTTCCTAATAAAGAATTTCTTCTTTAAGCTTTCTTTGATATCCTTGGTTTTGAAACAATATATTATTGGGTTGACAGCAGCAGGTAAAAGACTGTACATCATTACAACAACAATGCGAACTGGAACACTGAAAGTGAATCCCACATTATTTGCCAGATACACAAAACATCTTGGCATGTAATACAAAAATGTGATGAGAAGCTGTGGCATGCAGGTAGACAGGGTCTTGATGCGGCCCTCAGAGCTGGATATTCTCATAACAGCCAGAATGATGACAAAATATGATAAGACAATGAAACACAGAGGCAACAACAAACAGAACATGGCAAAACCAAATGCAACTACCTGAACCTGTCGTACGTTCTCACATCCAAGCGCTGTTATTGCTATATGGTCACAATAACAGTGTACAATAATGTTTGAATTACAGAAAGGCAAGGCAAGAGCATCTATAACTACACCCACCATCCATGATATTGGCATAAGCCATGATACTCCACAAAGCACAGACACAGTGGTATTTGTGAAAATAACTGTGTAACGCAGCGGAGCACAAATTGCAATAAAACGATCAAGGGCCATCACCATCAGGATGAAAGAATGAGCTGCCCCTAGACAATGAACAAAATACATTTGTGCAAAACATCCATAAAATGAAATAATGCTGTCACCAAACCAGTATTTTGATATAATCTTTGGCAGAGTAACAGTCCCAAATCCTAGGTCAGTTAATGCCAAGTGACAAAAGATCACATATGTAGGTTTGTGAAGAGACCTTTCAGATTTAACAAATGCTAAAATGAAAATATTACCTACAGCTATAGACATGAAAAGCACAAAAAGCAGGGCTGACACAGGTCCATAATACTCTGGTGACAGTTCAGGAAATCCGAGGATGAAGAAATGTTTTATCCTTGTTAAGATGAAGAAATGTTTTATCCTTGTTATATTAGTGTAGAACATAGTCACTTCACAGACAGTCACAGTCACAACCTATCAAATACAAAACACACAAGATTGACGCAGTTATTAGATGTGATAAGTTCAAGAAAATATCAAATAAAATGGAGGCATTAACAATTGACCTAACTTCTTCAAGTCTTAAAAGTATGTAAACAAAGACAAACAAAGCACAAGCCACTGTAGTATGATTCCATGTTTTCTGTGGAGGATCTTAAGTGTAAATCTTACCTCGTAAAACTTACAGTAGATCTGCTTCAATGAGTGCACTGCAACACCTCACTGCAGTGCCACCTAATGTATGTTAAATATCCTGTTTGATAATATTTAACAACAAACAAGTGGATGCCAGAGGGTCATGCTCCCAAAAGATTTCCACCAGTTCTACTCTAACCACACCCAGGGTTAACGGCCAAAGTGAAAGATTTAACCTGACACTGCATAACCTGCTGCGCACACTCCCTCTGGTCCAAAAGAGCAACTGGCATGACCATCTCCCCCAGTTGATACTAAATTATAGCACTATCGCTCATCAGTCGATGGGTGATCCCCCTGACTTTCTCATGTTTGGCCAAGAACCATACTTGCCTGTGGATTTCCTGCTTAGCCATCACCAAGAGCCTACGGCAGGAAAGTTCTGTGATTGGGTGGCAGAGCATCGGAAGTGCCTGCACATCGCCTTTGACTCTGCAAAGGCTTATTTGGAGATGGCAGCCAGACGAAGGATAGGTCTGCTTGTTAGCCTGCTCTGCTGTTGGCTAGCTGTACTTTAGTTTGACCTTAGCCTTTAAGTTGGTTTTGCTTTAATCTGCCGATGGTTGCAGATTAAGCCCTTATTTTTGTTTTCTTTCTGCCTTAAATTGCAGTTGTTTGTATTACCACATTTGACCTAATTTGGGTTTTTGTTATTTTGTTCATTTTATTTCAAGCTAGGGGTAGTCGTTACTGCTTGGGTGTCTTGCTCAGTAACCATGTGTTTTCAGTGCAATATTGTAAGGGGTGGTTGCAGCAGTGTTTGTCCGGGGTCTATTGAACTGCAAGTGTGTATATTTTTCTCTTGTGAACTCGTCATTCCCTTGTGCGCTTTTGGTTGTTTGTCAATAGTTGTTTTTTTGTTGTCTTTTTATTTGAGGGCTTACAGTTTATGGCTGCTGGTGAACAAATTACCCCGGCTGCATTTAGCTGCAGCCCCTCCCCTACGTTAAGATTTACCTGTCACTTGATTATTGGATCTTTAATCTCTGTGAATTTGGTGAAATCACTGATTATAGATAAACTCGGTAAAATCACTGATTAAACATTTCATTTTTGTATACATTAGTATCAACTATATATTTATATATTTTATGATATTTAATAAAAAAGTGTTATTTAAAAGAACTTTGTTAAGAATAAAGACTGTTGATATATATTTATATATCCACCTCCGTATTCATTTGTGGACTTACCTGTGTGTGTTTATTTAAAGGGAAACCCTCTTGTAGAAGAGGTGCAATAGGTGGTATAGTACTGCCACTCTTACTTCATATTCTTTAGTTGAAAGTCCTAAGGTGGAATTGTCGGTACCCATCATAAAATCTGTTAAACTTGCATAAAACCTTTCCTTGGTTACACTTGGAATGTCAAAGGGATCAACAGCCCACTTAAAACACCTTTAAACTGAATTGCCTTTTTACAAGAGACTTATCTGACCATCAGAGACCATCAGAAGTTAAAGGCGCCTTGGGTCGGCCATTCATTCCAATTTCTAAGTAAGGGGTACAGCTATCTAAATACATTTAAAAAAATACAGTTTAGCCCAACTAATGTCATAGCTGACCGTCAAGGCCTCAAGCCTTTTGTAATAGTTTCAGGCTCCGTTTACAATGTTGCTGTTCTTCTTGTCAATCTCTATGCACCCAATTGGGAAGTATTGATTAGACAGGTAATTACCTGATTTAACCTCCCACCATTTAACTTTGGGCCCTTAGTGGTTCAATGGACCCATTGTTAGATAAATCTTGTTCAAAAAGGGATCCCTTTCTAAAAAGGCATTTTCATCATTTGTGAAATAAATAGGAAGTATGGACACTTGGTGTTTTCTTAATCTTAATAAAAAGGAGTTTTCTTTTTTGACCAACCCTATTTTCATGTAACCCGATTGTTGTTTCCACTTTAGGAATCTGGTCACAATTTAGACTTGCTTTTGGACTCCAGGAGTTGTCTGACCACAGTCCCATTTGAAATAACCATCTCTTTCTCCCTCCCAGCACTGATGCAGCCTTTTCTATATGGCAGGAGTTAAGCCTTGCCAGATTAAGGGACCTGTACTTTGATAATGTCTTCTGTAGCTTCAGTGAACTATGTGCAAAATGTAACCGCCCAAAATCTAATCTATTTCCATACTTCCAGGTTCGTAACTTTGATAAACTTAACAATCCCTTTTTTCCCCATATTCTTCCTAGCTCAGTAATTGACTCAATTTTGGACATTCCCAAGAATCAGATAGGCCCCATCTCCAAAACTGACATGTTAATCTCCAATCTCACAGAGGCCTCTCTTAATAAAATCAAGAAGGATTGGGAATATGAACTTGGATTTCAAAGTTATAGATGATGATGACTGGAATGGTGCATTAATTTGAGTAAATTACAGTATGTCTACTTCCAGGCTTAATCTGATAAAAAGATTGTCCATCACATCGATTTTACCAACTCCAAATTTTCCCAAATATTCCAGTGTTGCAGACTCATGTCACAAGCAAACATGACAAATATGTTTTGGTCCTTTCCTCATCTACCAGGTTACTCACACAATGTGTGAGTAAAAATCAATAATAGCCATTGATTTTAAGTGTCTGAAATTTTAGGTGTGACACTAATTTCGAATGTAGGGCTCCATAGTAATTCCCAAAATGAATGAAAAATAAACCCTTGTGTGAGAGTAAAAACAAGACTTTAGTTGAGGCATATATCATAATGCAGAAAATGTACAGTATTATTAGCTCACCACTTCCATTGTATGACATATAGTGCAGTATTTGAACAGCAATGACACCTGAAATTAACATTCATAAAACACACATTACAGAAAAATAATTTTCTGTTATACAGTCACATTTTTTGTAAGCCAAAGTTTTATCGTCAGTTTGTTATTAGAATTAAAGTTTTACCTCTATCCCAATTTTAGTTTTCTGCAGCCTCTACATTAACATCTGCTTAATGTCTTGAGTCTTGAAACAATATATGATTGGATTAACAGCAGGAGGGAAAAGACTACAACAATATCAATGCAATGCAAACATCTAAACTGAAAGAAAATCCAACAGTATTAGCTTAGTAAACAAAACACTTCAGAAGGTTAAAAAGAAATGTAATGAATATTTGTGGGGTACAAGTTGAAAGGGTTTTGTGCACCCTGCAGCATTGGACATTTTCAAAATAACCACAATAATGGAAATGTAAGAAAACAAGAGACAAAAGATTCCCAAAAGAGGCTAAGCCATACTCAAATTTTTGATCAGAACAGATTATTTTCATTTATCAATTCAAGGTATCAACGTAGTATACATTTAACTTTACAAAATGGGTAAATATATTTTAAATAACATATTTTTTCCAAAAAAAACCTGCCTGAGAGGAGACACTTTTCAGTGCACTAGTTGACATAAGATAGCACTTTGCCGTTGCTGTTTACTGTACATAAAAGGAGAGGAAATGAAAAAAAAGTCACAAGGAAATTTTGAGAAATCTTAAGGAAAGGGAAATGTATGAGGAAAAGCAACAATTAAAGTTGGCAGCTAAGTGTAAAGTCAGAGTTCCTACTAATCCTACTACTAATTCCTACTGTAGGCTTATTGTTTACAGCTGCACATCAATACGAAAGTTTTATCTCTATTCCAATTTTAGTTTTCTTTAGCCTCTTCATCAACATCTTCTTAATATCTTGAGTCTTGAAACAATATATGATTGGATTAACAGCAGGAGGAAAAAGACTGTACAACAATATCAATAAAATGCGAATATCTAAACTGAAAGAAAATCCAACAGTATTAGCTACATAAACAAAACACCTGGGAAGGTAAAAAAGACATGTGATGAATATTTGTGGGGTACAAGTTGAAAGGGTTTTTTTGCGTCCGGCAGCATTGGACATTTTCAAAATAACCACAATAATGGAAATGTAAGAAAACAAGATGAATGCAAGAGGAAGCAGAAGACAAAACATGGCTACACAAAGAGAAGTGACTGCAACTATTTTAACATCCTCACCACATGCCTGACTTGTTATAGAAATGTGGTCACAGTAGCACTGAGCAATGACATTTGATTTACAGAAAGGTAAAGTAAGGACATGGAGTACAACGGCTACCATCAAAGGCAGAGGTATGAACCAAGCAAGCCCACAGAGCACAGATATTATGTTGTTTGTGATAAGGACAGGATAACGCAGTGGAATACATATTGCAATAAATCGATCAAGAGCCATTACCAACAACATGAAAGAAGTCACTGATCCTAAATAATGAACAAAGAACATCTGTGTAAAGCACCCATAAAATGAAGTAACACTATCATCAAACCAATATTTTGATATGATCTTTGGGAGAGTCGCAGTGCCAAATGTTAAGTCATTCAATGCCAGGTGACAAAAGACCAGATACGTTGGTTTTTGCAAGGACCTCTCATAGACAACAAACGCTAAAATGAAAATATTTCCGACTGCAATCGCTAGGTAGATGACAAAAAGCAGAGCTGACACGGGTCCATAATACTGTGGTAAAAGTCCAGGAAATCCAAGGATGGAGAAGCTTTTCATCCTTGTAAAATTGGCAATCATAATTTGAGTTTACAATAAAAGTCAATCAGAACCAAGATATGAAATAAAGACCTGCAAGGTAGAAACAATGATTAGACCTTTGAAATATTAATTGCAGAATATACTTCCAATATATCAAATCATTTAATAGTTATCCAAAACCCAACTATTCATTTAAATGATGCTCTATAGTATATCTGAAAATC